CTCACCTATGGTCATGAACTTTGGGTCATGACCGAAAGGGCAAGATCCCGGATATAGGCGGCTGAAATGAGCTTTCTCCGCAGGGTGGCCAGGCGCACCCTTAGTGATAGGGTGAGGAGCTCAGTCACCTGGGAGGAGCTCAGTGTAGAACCGCTGCTCCTCCACATTGAGAGGAACCAGCTGAGGTGGCTCGGGCATCTGTTTCGGATGCCTCCTGGGCGCCTTCCTAGGGAGGTGTTTCAGGCATGTCCCACTGAGAGGAGGCCCCAGGGAAGACCCAGGACACGCTGGAGGGACTATGTCTCTTGGCTGGCCTGGGAACGCCTCGGCATTCCCCCGGAGGAGCTGGAGGAAGTGTCTGGAGAGAGGGAGGTCTGGGCATCTTTGCTTAGACTGCTGCCCCCGCGACCCGGCCCCGGATAAGCGGAAGAAAATGGATGGATGGATGGAAAAAAAGACCACTGGCCCTGGTTGTCTACCTGAGCAGTCCCCACCTCTGTAGCGCTGTGTGAAGTGTTTACTACTTTCAGTGTATGACTAAATATCTTATTGTGAAAATCTGAATGAAATCTTTCATAAAACTAAAAAGGGGCCTTCCTACCGAGACACAGTGTGTGTTTGCAGCTTTGCCCTCTCATGTTGCCTGATGAATAATGAATGATGCTCAGTTGGGTGATAGGATCCACCCACTGAACTTGACATGAAATTGAGAACATTCAAATTGTTGGCCTGTGTTGTGACTACAACTCAGGAGCCCCATCTTTTCCCAGCAGTGAACTGACTTTCTGGCAAAACTGCACTGACCTGGCTTTGAAATGTCACTCAGAGCAAAATCCCACACGGACCTGCAGATGGCCGGGAAGTCCTTGTTAGACGACAGCTCGTACCACTTTCTCTCAGTGAGCAGCAGCAGCATTAACAGAGGCAGCCGATTTGGGAATGGGACAACAGAAGAGATCAAAGTTCTCCCCAGGTCGACCAGGAGGCCTCTACGGGCGGTCAGCGCCATCAGCACCAGTGGCTCCTTCTACCAGATCAACCATGTGCAAGGAGAGCTGGTCAGAAAGAGAAAGGTTGGGGGGAAAAAGGTGAGACTGTTCATGGATCACTGTGTGAACCAGAGGGAAAATGCTCATGATCCATTTTAGAGTGGTACCAAACAAACATCACAACAAATCTCTATGATCACAGACCTGCTATGGGATTATTATAGTGATCATTAATGACTTTGAACAACACGTTTTAAATCTACAGACCAATTTGGACTCATGATAAGAAATTAAATGTTGGAGGGAACAACCTCACCACATCTGTGATTTGTAGCTGAATGACATAAACTGTTGTTTCCAAAATCACAAATAAACTTTGAACCTTAACTGAGTTTAAGGAAGGTTTCGAAAATAGTTAATTTTACCCAAAATGATGACACTGATGTGAGAATAAAAATGTATAATTTGTTGTGATAAGCATGAAAAATGTTCACTGATGGTTGGTATGAAGTTTGTCATGTCTGTTTCATAGCGCTGTCTCAAGAAGGGTCATCATTCTCTGTTTTAATGCTGAGTAAACGATCATTTTATGAATTTGGAGTCAAAGCCTCGACTGGTTGTTCGCATGTCACTGAGAATGTAAATGTGCTTCAGGATCTGAAGAAAGAAAACAAGTACTTATCGAACGAGATCCACATGGAGCGGATCATGATGCACACAGAGAACGAGCTGACCATGAGGAACCTCAGGAACCTGAACCAGGAGATGCAGGCTCAAGTCAAAGAGCTGCACTCAGTGACTGGACATCCAGAGCACTGATAAAAAGAAAACAGAGATCATAAGACAACACCCACCTGCATCAAATGAAATATGTGTAAAACTCCACACATTCATTTGACAATTAAAGTTGTAAATAGTTTTGACTAAACGCTGCTCTAAACTAAACGTAAGGCATATTTTTCAGGAGCGGGTCAGACCCCATTTTTAACAACACACTATATAGTAAGGCACATTTTTCAGGAGGTGGCTCATTTCAGTAAGACACAATAAATCAATGTGATATTTGTTAGAAATGAACCCAATTCTTTTGTTGGAAGCACGAGACGTGAAGACAGGAGAGGACTGTTTAAAATCAACAAAGTTTACTGAAGGTCTGATCACAGGTTGAGTCTTACAGTGCTGGATTCAGAGAGACAGAGCTCCCGCAGGAAAACCGACTTCTGAAACCTGAATTAAGTTTTTACAACACATTTATCTTCTTAGGCTGCTCTGCCCTGGCCAGGGGTGCAACCTTCAATGGTTTGTGATCCTATTGGTCATTTGGTGTGAGCCGGAGCTCACACTTCAATGTTGAAATATGGTAAATCTAGGTATGTGTGTGTGTGTGTGTGTCTCAGGTGGCAGTTTGGTCTTGATCAATGGGCCCCGAACAATGGGTGGCCTGAGTTGCAGGCCCCTGTGTATGTGATGCTAATAAGTATGCTAACCTGGCCAGGTGGTCCTCTCAGGTTGTGGGCTCCCTGGCGCTGCAGGGCACCCCAAGACAAAGCAAAATTGTGGAATATGCTAGGTAGGTCTACTGTGGGTGCAAAACAGGCCAGCAGGTCTTTGGTAAATTGTAAATAGGCTGCCTGATCACAAGGAGATATGGACATAGTGTCTCTACACAGAAGTTACAGCATTCAAACTAAGCAGATTCTACTGCATTACAGTTGTAAGATATATAAGCAAGGGAAACAAATGTATTACAAATGATCAAAGCTCAGTAGTTCTGGACAATCATCAATGCAGCTGTAATATGTACAAACAAGGAAAATAAAGTTATGAAAGGTAACTAAAACTTATAAAGTAACTAGAGTCTATAAGAATCATCAAATCTTACATATTCACTTATCAAATCAATCACTAACAGAGATTTGGATGAGAGAGATCTGATATTTAATAGTCTACATTTGATTGATTATTTTGATCCATGAGAGGAATAGTCTTAATTTTAATTAGGTTCTTATGAATAACTCCTCTGGAGTTGATTCTTGATTTATATAATTTAGGTGGGCGGGGGACAGACACAGTCTCTATGGGGTACTGGGAGCATTGGGTGGGTAGCAGCTGCAAGGAGACAGCAGAGAGGCGTGTAAGACTGCGACCCTGCATCCTGGACTCAACTCTGGGTTGTCATAATTTAGGTTGTAAAATAAACTCGTCCAGATTTCTAGATAAGAGAGCCGCACCACCCAAAGTGGGATGGATGCGGTCTCTGCTAATCCGACCGGGTTTTCCCCAAAATGTTTTCCAGTTGTCTATGAAGCCCACGTTATTTTTTGGGCACCACCTAGACAGCCAGCGGTTGAATGACGACATGCGGCTAAACATGTCATCACTGGTCACATTGGGTAGGGGTCCAGAGAAAACTACGGAGTCCGACATTGTATATTATTGTTCTTCAGAATAAAGATTCAGAATGTAATATGTGTTGTGTACTTTCACTTCCAAGCAGGCAGGACTGATGCAAGCTGGCTTTCTGCAATTATGTAATACATTTTTATATCACCTTAGTGAAAAAAATATGCAGTAGGGTTTAAATGTTCTACAGACACTATTCTGTTGTTTTACATCATATGGTAATGAAGGTAAAGCATTAACTTTTCATAACCAAAATTCTGTA